AAAAAAAAAAAAAATGTATAATAATAATAATAACTTTTTTTGGAATAGCCAACCTCGAAGTGCCTGCACACAAAAATTTTTTTTTCAGTTTTTTCAACTCTATGTAAAACCGGTTCAACATTATACAGTTTATACGACTTTGTAATTTGTACAACTGTGAATACCATTACATCCAACAGCACAAAATAAGCGGAGAGCTATTTTTTCATTGCAGAAAATGTGCTTCAGTCTTTTTAGTGAAAAATAAGAAAGAAATGAGTACACTTAAATTAGAATTTTTGTGTTCCCAAAACGATTATTATTATGATCACTGATGGAGATTTTTCGTGTTATTGGGGCTGTTCAAGGTGAACTGTTTGTTTGCTTTTCTTTTCTCTTTTACTTATTAAAATTTTTCAAACGTTTAATAAGGATTTATATTTCACTGTTTGAACCACCAGCAAACTCAAATATGGAAATCTCAGATAGTAAAATTTCACTATTCGGACGATATTTTGTGCGGCACTGACAGAAAATATTTTTAAGACCAGGAAGGCAGTGTTTGTGAGAATTAAAGGTTCACATTCCGACGACCAGCAGTAGAAAACATGTACAAATACCTTGCTTCCCATTTCGGTTTAAGACTTATCAACTAGAAGGCATTTTTAAAAATAAGCTTATTTTAAATTAATTATTTCGTTTAGGTAAAAAACGACAAGGAACTTTCAAAGAATGAAAAAACAGAAGAGTTCAGTTTGAAAAAAAAAAGTTATAGTTGCATGTATATAAATGCGCCTTTTCTTGTACTTCAAACCAAATGTCAGAAATATTTTGATTTTTGGCTAGTTAAATAAACAGCAGCAGATACTGGACTAAGGGGAACAAACTGTTTTTACCTTAATGCTTCAAAAGCTGGCTGGCTGAACCAACTTGATCTTATCCCCAACAGGAAAGAACGCTTGTTATCCAAAAATTCGTTTTCTGTTTACTACGTGTTTGTATTCAATCAACTTTAGATCGATTGCATTAGCCGCTCATCAGAAAAATTAGCAAGTATCTCTCATCGTTATCAATAAGTTGGGAATACTGCATATCTATACACTGTATCGATATCCATATACTGTATCAAAAATGCAATTTGCTGATTGGCTGTACTACTTATAACCAATCAAACCGTGGTGAGAGTAGCAGACTAAAAAAGAGGCATTCTTTTTTCTGGACCTGTTGGAATTAGTCTTACTTTTACACCTTTTCTGGTAACGACATATGTTTTGAGATTCTCAAGATGGTAAGTTATATGCTAAATTATTTTTACACTGCGCTCAAAAAAAAACCCAAAAGCGATAATAGAATTAGATCGTCTAAGATAGAATAATTCAAATTTTTTGATACACTACAGTACAACTTAAGATTTCATTTGCAAAGGCAAATAATTTTGCTTGTTTGGAAACTTGCAATTCTTGTAACAAGACATACTTCTTCGTGGCTTTTTTTGACTTGTAAAGTTTTTTTTCGAAATTTTTACATTACTTTGCATTACTGCCCATTTCATTTCCTAATGATTGTGACTGTAAATATGTATACATTATCATCAAAAATAAAAAGATTTTTTCTGAATTGTGTAACGAGTCTGTAGTCAAACAATTCGCGAATAACATATAAAATTAAAGTAATCTTTTTTGGTGCGTCAGAGCTACTTTAGCTTTCGTTCCATTGCATTTTCATAATACAGTAACGTTTATATTAAAGTAAATTTAGTCCAGTTTTTCTACAAAAAAATGTTTGATAAAGGTGCTGGTACTTCTAAGAATAAATTACAAAGTTCCTGCAAAAATATTAAGGTTTAAAGAAGATCTGTCATTATAAGGAATATTAGCGTGTTATATGGCTTAAGTCTACCACCTTGGCAAGTTCAGTGCAGATGCTGGTTTCTTCTTCCACTGTTAAAGTGCCCGGTATTGCACTCGTCTGAGCGCTCTCAGAAATATTCATAAACCTGGTGCAGTAAAAAGTAGTGCTCAAGTCTTGACTAATTATATTATCAACAAAAAAAAAGTTAAGCTCTAGGTAGCAGTGATCGAATAAGCTTACCATCTCAGATTTACTGATGACATAGCATTTACTCTGGAGAATACAAAGCCTTTAAACGTTGCCGCAATAACATTCTGGTTGACCAACTTCATCAGTAGCACGGTAAGTGGATAAAAAAGTTGTCAAAGTCAACAAAATAAAGATAATTGTTTTTCAGAAGCCTTCGGCAGATAGATTCCCAACATAGAGGTTAGTAAAACTGTGATTCTAGTAATCGGACTAGAACTAAGTGATTCAGATAAGTGATTTTACAAAGAGGACAATGAAAATTAAGTTAAGGATGACGAGACACATAGCAGTTACTACTGATACCATTGGTCAACCAGAATCAGGAATTGTTAAACGAGTAATATTATAATAAGAAAGTGAGCCTTGTGTATGACCTCCATAAGTGCTTACTACTCGTCATTTTCAAAGAAAAGGCGATTTTGTTACTG